CAAGTACTTCTCGTCAATGGACCTCAAGACTGGCTATTGGCAAATCGAAGTCGACGAAAGAGACCGAGAGAAGACGGCGTTTATAACACCGGACGGCCTCTTCGAGTTTAAGGTGATGCCCTTCGGCGTTTGCTCAGCACCTGCAACTTTTCAACGCGTTATGGATACAGTACTGGCAGGATTGAAGTGGCAGACTTGCCTTGTGTACTTGGACGACGTCGTCGTGTTTTCCTTGAGTTTCAACGAGCATCTTCGGCGCCTTGAAGCTGTACTTCAAGCCATCAAGACGTCCGTACTCACACTGAAGCCACAAAAGTGCAGATTTGCGTATGAGGAGCTCTTGTTTCTGGGGCACGTTATCAGCAAGTCTGGAATTCGTCCCGATCCACGGAAAACAGCCGCCATCGCCGACTTCCCGCCGCCTGCTGACAAGAAGGCCATGCGCCGATTTCTGGGCCTGTGCGCCTATTATAGGCGGTTCGTGAAAAACTTCGCCCGCATAGCCGATCCTCTCACTAACCTTACCAAGGCCGACGTGGAATTCAAGTGGGAAACGCCACAGGACCACGCTTTCCAGGAGCTTAAACATCGCCTCCAGACGCCTCCATTACTTGCCCATTTCGACGAACTCGCCGAGACAGAAATACATACTGACGCAAGCAGCGTAGGTCTTGGCGCCGTTCTTGTGCAGAGGGCTGACGGACTTAAAAGGGTTATTAGTTACGCCAGCCGATCGCTATCCAAAGCAGAAGCAATTTATTCCACAACAGAAAAGGAGTGCCTCGCCATCATCTGGGCTACGTCGAAATTTCGCCCCTACCTCTACGGCAGGCCCTTCAAAGTTGTGAGCGACCACCACGCCTTGTGTTGGCTAGCCACCTTGAAGGACCCTTCAGGTCGCCTCGCACGATGGAGCCTGAGAGTTCAAGAATATGACATTACTGTCATTTACAAGTCCGGCAAAAAACACTCCGACGCTGACTGTCTCTCTCGTGCGCCTGTCGACCAACCACTACCCGACAACCCGGATGACGACTACTTCTTGGGAACGATAACTACCAACGACTTCGCTGAACGACAGCGCGCCGACCCCGAACTTAAAGCCCTAATAGAATACCTCGAAGGCAGGACCGCCGAAGTCCCGAAGGTATTCAAGCGCGCACTTGCGTCGTTCTTTCTACGAAACGGTCTTCTACAAAAGAAAAACTTTTCACCGCTTCGAGCTAAGTACCTCCTTGTGGTGCCTTCAGCTCTGTGACCAGAACTCCTGCAGGCCCTGCACGACGATCCGACGGCAGGGCACCTCGGTGTTTCTCGCACGCTCGCGAGGATACAAGAAAGGTACTACTGGCCACTTCTTACCATCGACATCAATCAATATGTGAGGACATGCCGGGACTGTCAGCGACGCAAGACACCGCCGACAAGGCCTGCGGGACTTCTGCAGCCAATCGATCCACCTTGCCGACCTTTCCAGCATATTGGTATGGACCTATTGGGGCCGTTCCCGACGTCGGCTTTCGGAAACAAGTGGATCGTGGTAGCTACCGACTACCTCACCCGCTACGCCGAGACAAAAGCCCTGCCAAAAGGCAGTGCATTCGAGGTAGCTAAGTTCTTGGTCGAAAATATCGTCCTACGTCACGGGGCCCCAGAGGTCCTTATCACCGACAGAGGAACGGCATTCACTGCCTACTTAACTCAAGCGATCTTGGCATACAGCCAAACAAACCACCGCCGGACGACAGCGTACCACCCACAGACCAACGGCCTCACCGAGCGACTTAACAAGATGATCGCCGACATGCTGTCAATGTACGATGTCGAACACAAGACATGGGACGCCATTCTTCCGTATGTGACCTTCGCATACAACACGGCGGTGCAGGAGACGACGCAGATATCTCCATACAAATTGGTCTACGGAAGGAGCCCGGCAACGACGCTCGATGCCATGTTACCCAACGTCGCCGACAAAGAAAACCTCGATGTGAGCGAGTACCGTCGACGCGCCGAAGAAGCCCGACAACTTGCGCGTCTCCGTATCAAGAATCAACAGACGACCGACAGCCATCGTTACAACCTTCGACGACGCTTCGCGGAATACCAGCCCGGTGAACGTGTTTGGGTGTGGACGCTGATACGCCGACGTGGACTAAGTGAAAAGCTTCTGCGACGGTACTTGGGACCATACAAGGTGGTTCGACGTCTCGGCCCACTTAATTACGAGGTTGTCCCCGACGGCATCACGAACTCTCAACGACGCCGATCGCGACCTGAAGTTGTCCATGTCGCGCGCCTCAAGCCGTTTCATGCACGTTAACAAACTGAAACAGTGTTTTTTGTATTATTGTTGTATTGTAATTTATTCATTGTACTTTCTTGCATTATTATTGTACCTTCATCTTTAGTTAAAGCATCGGGACGATGCCTTTTTTTCAGAGGAGGGCAACGCCACGTTCCATTTCCCAAGTTTTTGTTATCGTTCCGAAACACAACACGATTCTCGGCGCAAACCGCGCCTGCAGGTTTCGAGAAGGTTCCGGACTGTAGTAGATCATTTCGATAAGATCACGCCCACTGTGCGAACGGTACAGATTGTTCTGGAACATACGCCACCGCCAGCGATAACGCTAGAACATTCGACGGCAAGGGTATAAATGCTAACGCGCTTCGCCGTTTGTCAGTTGTTGATCGAAGGCCGACGCTGCGTTCGCCGCTATCAGTCCAAGACTGCTATCTGTGCAAGACTGCTGCTGTAATTAGACTTTCCCTTTACCGGGCACAGGTTCGCCCAAATAAACAGTTAAATCACAACACGAAGTTTCCTGTCTTCGGCCACGTCACGACCCCGTGACAATATATACAAATACGTTTGCATACACGGTGAATGATGGCAGCGGCGGAAAAAAAGAAAACAGCCTAGACCATCGATATAATTGCTATTGCAATAAAAAGGGGCCAGAGGCGTTTTGGCGTTCCTGTAAAAAAAAAATCTAATAGTGAGCAAAGTTCTGACCCGCGCTTTTGCGGCAGCCAGCTGCGCCGTCCCATCCGTTCACGTGTGTCCCAGGAAGAGATACGCCAGTTGTTCTGGCAGAAATAGATTCTACTAGTTGTGTTGATACTTTGAGACTCACCTTAGTATGAAACCTTGCCCTCGTGTGTTCGGCCTCTCCAGATCACTATAAGACCACAATGCTGATGTTGGGGCTTAAGATTGAGGCCCCTCCACCCCACCCCCTTTTGTTTTTCGGTGCTTTTTTGTTTGTTTGTCCTTGGCTTTTTTTTTTTTTTTGTGCCCAGAAAAAAAAAATGACGGCAAATTATTCAGCTACCTGCCCCCCATTGCGGAAATCTCCCGGATTCACAATCCTTGAACTTGGCAGGTATGCTGTGAAAAACTTGCGATTTTGCGCATTTGTCATTAGAGCCTCAGTAGATCATGCAGTGATTACTATGACTTCGGCACAAGTGTGGTGATGCCTGCATGGAAATTCATAGCAACGTGATGATGGCTACCAATGAATGCGGCAGCAAGTCATGGCGAGAAATGGACCAATGATAAGTATCTCAATAAATTTATATCATGTACTGCCTGCACGACGGTACATATGGCTTAGCTGTTTAGCGCTGTTACGGTTCATGTAAGCTTACCGACTACACCGTCTGCTGCCGCGCCCTTGTGGGCGGGACTGCAGTGCATATCGCTCGTGAAAACGAAAGCTACTCGCTGCCACCGCGTCGGCTCAACAGTATAGTCTTCATACCTTTGCTCAGTTCAGTGCTGAGCAAGCACGAAGAAAGAAATTTCTACGCAAGGGCAAACAAACGCATGTACGTTACAGTACGGCGCTTATGTACTAAGCTCAGTAGGCGATGCACTGCATGCAACTAGCTAAGGGCACGCTCATCTTGACGTACGATGGTAATGCGTTTCATGTATAGCCAGGCCAGTTTTTGCTAATGGATCCCTGTAGAAACGTACATGCACATGTCGAAGCTTGACGAGTCGTCCGTCAGCTGTGCCGCTACTTCAGCATGTATACTCTCTTCATAGTTCTGGAATGATTTTATGATAGCGGATATGCTCATGCGAATCAGTTTAGTTGAGAATCAACGCTCGTGTTGTCTTATCTTTCGTCTGCGTCTTCACCCTTGTTGCGCTGTGAGTTATCGAAAAATGAACTATTACTAAGTAGCCCAGGTTTCCCTTCTTGTTCATTGTTCTTCCGCGCAATGTCAAACATAGAAAAGGCCATGCACTTTCGGTAACGTTACAAAATATCTGCTTCCCTGGCCATCGGCTCACACCACATTCTCTGCAGTGTGATGGCAGGTTCAAACCGCCTGCCATCACACTCCAGAAAATGTGGTTGTGAGCCGATGGCGGGGGAAGCTGATATTTTGTTCCGCCATAAGCACCATAAAAACAAGGGAGACAATGCAGGCCTTCTTTATCAACAGAGAAGGTGAAAGGTACATTAGCCATCCATCTGTTGCCCTTAGCGAAAAGGAAATGCAATTTCTAAAGTGTCACTTATCTTAGGATGCTTCACACGTCTGGTTTTGTTGGTATGACCGGTTTTTCGTTGATATGTTTTTCTTTTTTGCCGTGCGTAGAGGCTCCACGTGTCTTCAAAAAGTGTTGTCACTTGAATGACTCTGCTGCACATGCGCAGTTGCTCTGTCGAAGCTGGTTCGCCTGTGTGTATATTCGTGCCTTTCCTTTTAATAAACTTCAGTTTAGAGTCAGCGCTCGTGTTGTTTTATCCTTCGTCTGTGTCTTCATCCTTCTTGTGCTGTGAGTTATCGAAAAATGAACTATTACCAAATAGCCCTGATTTCCCTTCTTGTTCTCCTTCAATAGATGGCTGGCAGCAGCTTGTTTCTGTACCTTGTTTGAATGTGTGCAATCATTAGCTTTTTTGAACAGTCAGTACCGCTTTGCCATGACATTAGCAGCTTTAGAGTGACCTGCAACATCTGCTTTTTGCCAGGCCGAGGTGTTTCAAGTGCTGAGGCAAGTGTTCGAGCTGGCATGCGCCGAACCGCCACCGGCTGGTGTGGCACACAGTCCGCAGTCACGTGCCATGTATGCTGTGGATCTCATGCTAGAGTGGGACCGCTCCCAGGTACAGGCAGGTAAGAAGCTCCTTCAATGTAATCTCCATTTTGAAGTTGGACTACAAAATTTCACCAGCCATTATGATACTGTCGAATGTGAATTCTGAGTACAGCTTGTTGTTAGGGCAAGGCCAGCTGTTTTGGTTCTCCACAAGGTATCGACTACACCGTAAGTCATAATTCTTGCAAAGTAGGACTGCAACCACTGCATCATTATTTGCCTATCTGTAAATTAGCGAGGTACCCACAACTCACTTGTGAGGTATTATGTGCGCTTTGTTGATGGTGCACGTGGCTGAAGATGATGAAGAATTATAGCTTACAGTGGTGGGGCAACTGCGCCATTTTGCTACCATTCCATGTCTCAGCGCCTATTCAAGCAAAGCTTGCACCAACTGTGCCAAAGTTGACTAGACTAGTCCACCTGTTTTACACAACATGGGACTCTTTAAGACCCAGAAATATTTTTAGTCTCAACAAACTCCACTATGGCCTTTTTATAATGATGCTAATGCCCTCTACTCAATTTATTTTAGCGATGCACTTTTTTTAATTATATTTCCACATTTCTTTTCTCAAGTTTTGTTATCGCCCCAATACACTACGTAATTCTCAGCGCAAACCCTGCCTGTAGTTTTCGAGAAGCTTCAGAATTGTAGTAGGTCATTTCGATAAGATCACGCCCACTCGGCAAACTATACAGATTATTTTGGAGCCTACATCACCGCTAGTGATAACGCTAGAACATTCGATGGCAAATGTATAAATGCCGACGCGCTTCGCCGCTATCAGTGCAGGTGTGCTACTGTGATCCGACTTTCCGTTTAACGGGCACAAGTTCACCCAGATAAACACTTTAAGGGGGGACATGGGTCTTTAAAATTTTTTTTCTGTTTTCGGCTCAATCTTGACCAAACCTCACCATCTTGGACAGTTTTTCATGCTGATTTCAAATATGTAATTGTTTCTGAAATAGCTTCAGTGGATAAAAAGATATTAACATCTGTAATTTAATTAAATATGCACTTCATTGGGGGCTTTTTGGCAACTTAATCAAGCCAGATCCAAAAAATAAATGCATAGCCCCAATGCTGAGGGCTTTCTGTATGGGGTGATGCTATATTTATTAATTTTTAGGCATTATATAGATAAGAAAACAGACCAGCACTTACAATGGATATTCTGTTCAATTTTTGTTCATTACTATCCATAATTGTAATTAACAGTATGCTTCTAGAGTAATCAAAAGAGCATCACCCCATAGGCAATGTTATTACAAATAAAATGATACCAAGTTTTTATTCTCAATCAACAGTAACATATAAGAAAAACCCCTAAGGTTTAGTGTGGTGCACAAAAACATCGAACTGAGAAAAACGCATTTAAAGTTTCTAAAAACTGTAACTTTTGCTAAAGTGAAGCTAGAGCAATAAAAATGGCACCGTTGTATAGCTCTACATTATGTGAGTATGGCTGTACCAAATGTGTCAATGCGCCTTCCCAAAATATTTGCCACAGCTCATTTAAAAACTGTGTACTTGCCGTTGAATCAGTATAAGGAACCCAGTCTACAACTTTGTGGCTGTTCTAGTGCACTGAAAACCAAAGGAAGACACATGTTATATATAAAAACATCGCCCTTTTATACATAAAACACTATTTCAAGTATAACACACATTTTTGTCCCAGACATCCTTACAATTCTACAGCATGCCAGGGCTGTATGCAGTGTCTCTTGCAGGCTTATGTCGCTTTGCAAGTGTTGCCTTTGTTGAACTGCTCTGCAAGTGCTCCCTCCGCGATTTGTGAAGCCGAGTAAAGTGAAGATTTGTGAAGCAGAGTAAAACGTCATGTCGACACGACCTTTAATGGTTCCAGTAGTGCCGGATGACGATCCGCTGACGTGATGATCCGACGAAGTGCTGCAGCTGGGCCGAATAGAGTGCACCGCTTCGGCAGGCATTCGCGCCAGCGAATCGTCGTCTGAATGTGCTGCCTCGGCAATAACAGGCACTTGCGCCAGCGAGTCGTCGTCTGAATGTGCTGCCTCCGCAATAACAGGCATTTCCGACAGCCCGTTGTCGTCAGAATGCGCTGCCTCGGCCATCTCCGGCGTTCTCGGCGGCGCGCAGGCCGCTCCCTTCCGCCGCGCATTCCACGCTCGCCTTGTTTCCTGCCGAAAGCTTGACGAGTGTTCTTCAGGCGAGCTTCTCAAGCCATGCCGGCGAAATGCAGAAAGACGTATACGTCGGCGACGTCGGTACACGAGCGGGTAGCAGACGAGATTACACGCACGAGAGCAGGCGCCGACGGAGCAAAACCAAACAAAAAAAAAAAAAAGACCGAGCAACCGTGGCCGCGCCGCCGCGCCAGTCAATGGTAAGCGCGAGACGGGGGGGCTCGCCGGCGCGCGCGCACTCTAGCCAATCAGCGGTCCGGCAGACGACTTCGCAAAACGGGGGAGGGCAGTCGTTGCGTTGGAGCTACGCCATTTTGAGAGCCCGCAAAACGCGCACAAAGGAACCAGCTTCAAAACAAGCCCAAGATAGCGCCGATCTGCCGGCTGCTTCGCTGGCGGCGCGCGCGGGAAGTTCGAACAAATTTTCTGTTTCGCGGGTTGTTTTGCGACTCCCGTGATGGTTTGAAAATAGATTTTAACCTATTTTTTTATCGAATTTAGCGTTAATAATTTGAGGAGAGGTGCTTATAGGTTCAAAGATTCGAAAAATGCGTTTTTCTCAAAAGCGATTTTTTGGCCATTTTTTACTTTTCTAAGACCCGCATCCCCCCTTAACCTTCATCGTACTGTCTGCTTTTTTGTCGACGTCACGACCCTGTGACATCTGGTGGAGTTGCTGCTTCTTTGATGTTCCCAACGCCACCTTCAAGCGGCTAACCCAGCCCAAACGGCAAAGAAAACACGGACGCCAACCCTGAACAGAGAACAAGCCGCAGGCAGAGGGGACTGCAACCAGAGTACAAGCCTCTTCCTGAAACAGCCAGGCAGCCCCGCATCCCAACATCAACTGCAGCAACTATAACCACCCCCTGCATCCTGTCCCAGTCGTTCTTTGGCAGCCCAAGGAACGTTCCATGGATCGTTCCATCGTCAGGCGAAGACCCGGAAAGCTGGATCTATATATACGACCGAGTCGCCACCTTGAACAGCTGGGACCCCGAAGAAAAATTACCCTGCGTCTATTTCTACTCAGAAGATGCCGCAAAGACGTGGTTCGAAAACCACGAATGCACGCTAGCAACCTGAAAACTCTTTCAGACAACGTTCCTGAACACGCTCATCAGCATCGTTCGCAAGGAAAGGGCCGCCACATTGCTGAAGACAAGGGTGCAACGCCCTGATGAAAGCGTTACCCTCTTCATCGAAGAGATGAACCGGCCCTTTCGACACGCCAACTCCACTATGGCTGAGGAAAAGAAGCTCCAGTTCTTCATGTGCGGAGTAAAGCAGGAGCTGTTTGCGGGACTTGTCCAGAACCCACCCAAGACTGTCAGCAAATTTCTTACCGAGGCCACAACTATAGAAAAGGCGCTTGAGATGCGGGCAACGCAATACAACTGCCACACCTCATTCAACAGCGTCAATTCCTTCAGTATTGACGAACGTCGAGAGGTTGCAGTTGAGATGTCATCCGACCCGGGATCACGACCAGTTCTGTGCCGCAGTCGCGCAGGAGCATCTTCACTGAGTCGGCCAAATGGCAGCGAAACGTGTCCAGCACCGGAATGGACGGAAAAGAGAGCAGGGCACCAGGCCTTCTGCACCACACGGACTTTACCCAGCCTAGGACAAGGTCTTCATTCAGCCAGCCTTTATCGTGACATCTCACGATGACATTCTTCGGTAGCTCCTCCCCTTTCGGCATTGTCTTGCGCTTGAATACGACATAAGGTGGGAGCTTGTGGCCGTCCGCCATGCACGATAACATCACTGTGACATGCGTTTTTTCATTGCCGGTGGTACAGACACTAACCTGCTTTGAGCCCTACTTATGAACCATAAGGGGCGATGGCATGTCCACGTAAACTGGCGTTTGATCGGCATTGCCGATTTGTCCCAGCTGGAAGTTCTGCGAGCGGTGCAATGTAATCACATGGCATTGAAATGATCTAAGAAGCTCTTCAAAGGCTTCTGAGAAATGGAGGTTCGCCGGCGCAGGGAAAATCCGGCTCGGCACATGTAACGTTATATCCAGTGCTTGCTGGCTTTGAAGTCCGAGCTCGACATCCCCTTTTCTCTCGCCTGCTCCCTCGCCTTCATCTGCATCAGCTCCATGTTGACTGGCAAGTGCGCCGCCCGTTGCTGTCGAACGAACTCTGTCAGTGCGAGTTCAATCTCTGGGAAGATCCCTTTGTTTGAACCGTGAAAGCTATTTCTCTTTCAGCTGCATGCGAAAAGCGCTTCTTTTTGTCATCGCCATCCATGGACACTTCCCTCGGTGACTCCGGACTGTCTTCTGGCCACACTGTTGCCGATTCCCTCGGCAGCTACAATGACCTTTCTTTTGAATGCGGCCGAGTACTGGTTTCGATGCCCTGGCATGTTGCACCTTTGCGAAGTGAGGCACAGAACACAGCGATGTTCATCATCCGCCCCTCCGCTGTCCAAGTGCTCCAAAAACTCAACAACAAAGAAAGGAATGGCGCTAGAGCTCACTTTTGCTACGCGAGGGCGTGAAGATAACAACGCCAAGCCGTAGCCACTCGTAGACAAAACAAAGCCGTAGCCAAGCGGCAGTTACGAAACTGAAACTTTAAGCACAATTTCGTTTTTCGAGTAAGTTTTCGTTCGGATCCGCACATAGTGTGGAACGGAAATTGTGAACGCTAATATTTAAAAAAAAAAACCTTGTATTATACGCGGTTATTTACAGTATTCCGTCATCAGTGGGTTGTTCGTCGCCAAGTTAAATAAAATTAGGACAGCTTGGGAAGGCCTCGCAATTCACACAGCCGGAGGTCATCTAGTGTCGCCAGCAGTAATCTGCACAGTGAGAGTC